AGGCACGAAAGCCGGCTGGGTGACTTTTGGGAAGATCCTCTCTCTGTGCCCAACACACCTCACAGGGTTGTTGTGGGGGAAATAGGAGGAGGAAGGTGTGTGTCATCATATTTATAAAATAATAAACCAGTGATTAAATAAATACATTAATTAAATAAACCAGTGGTTTGGCTCTGCAACCCAACAAGACAGACACGGACTTCAGAGGAGAATCAGAAATGCAGAAAAAACCAATGGCTACTAACTTGACTTCCGTTGAGGACCTGGACACTGCAGGAGTCAAAAAGAGGGCCGTGAAAATATCTACAGACCCCTCGCATCCTGAACAAAGATTGTTTCAACTCCTACCCTCAAAACGACACTATAGGACACTGCACACCAAGACAACTAGACACAAGGACAGTTTTTCCCCAAATGCCATCGCTCTGCTAAACAAATAATTCCCTCAAAACCGTTAAACTATTCACTAAGGCTTCATTACAATTACTATTAGTCTTCTCATCATTCCCATCACCCATTTCCTCCTGCTTATGACTACAACATGTTGCTTGTATCTTTACAATTTATATTGTTTTATTTGTTTCCTAGTATGATTTGGGTGCTTATTAGAAACCTATGACTATCAGTAAGTGTTGTATCTTGTGATTCTTGATGAATGTATTTTATTTTTCTTTATATACACTGATATGCCTCAAAGACTAATTCCTTGTGTGTCCAATCTCACTTGGCCGATAAAGAATCCTATCCTATCCTATCCTATCCTGTCCTGTCCTATCCTATCCTCTATTCTAATCTAATCTATTCTATTATATTCTCTATTTATTCCAATCTCTATTCCATTCCATTCCATTTCATTCCATTCTATATTCTATTCCTATTCTATTCCTATTCTATTCTATTCTAATTTTACTCGATTCTATTCTATTCCATTCCATTCTATATTCTATTCCTATTCCTATTCTATTTTACTCTATTTTATTCTATTCCATTCTATATTATATTCCTATTCTATTCTAATCTTTTACTCTATTCTATTCCATTCTATATTTTATTCCTATTCCTATTCTATTCTATTTTACTCGATTCTATTCTATTCTTTTCCATTCCATTCTATATTCTATTCTATTCTATTCTATTACTTGATTCTATTCTATTCCATTCCATTCTATTCTATATTCTATTCTATTTTACTCTATTTTATTCTATTCCATTCTATATTCTATTCCTATTCTATTCTAATCTTTTACTCTATTCTATTCTATTCCACTCCATTGTATATTTTATTCCTATTCCTATTCTATTCTATTTTACTCTATTCTATTCTATTCCATTCCATTCTATATTCCATTCCATTCTATATTCCATTCTATATTCCATTCCTATTCCTATTCCTATCCTCTCCTATTCCACTCCATTCTATTCCTATTCTATTCTATTTTACTCTATTCCATTCCATTCTCTATTCCCTTCCCTTCCAAGAAACAAATAAATAAAATAAACACTTACTGCTCCATAAACTTGAGGACAAGCTCGGTGGTTTTTTGGGCGACCGACTGGATTTCCGACAGGCCGTGGCACCCGTACGAGTTCCCACAATGGGCGTAGACGCCCACCAGCTCCGTGGCCCCCTCAGAGATGGCCTTGGCCAGCTTCACAGCTGCGGGGTCCGAGGCTTTCACGCCAGCTGCAAGGAAGCGGAGAAAGGGGCCAAATTCCCGACTGTTCAGGTAGTCCTCGGCTTACGGCCACCCGAGCCCAACACTTCCATTGCAAAGCGAGGCAGTCTTCAAGTGAGTTTTGTGCCCCATTTTGCGACCTTTCTGGCTGTTGTTGTTAAGTGGGTGACACGGTTATTAAGTGAATCCTCGTTGACTCTGCTTGACAGAAGGTCACGGAAGGTTGCAAAATGGGTCAAACAGCTCGATTAGCAACTGCCTCACTTGGCGGCAAAAGCCCTGTTGCGGTCGTAAGTCGAGGACTGCCTGTACGGGCAGCCGCGGGAGGGCGGGTACCTCGTCCGTTCTCGCAGTCGATCTTCAGCCAGACTTTCCAGGGCTGCCCAGTACGCAGAGGCCTCCCCTTCAACCGCTCCAGGGCCTCTGCGCTGTCCACCATCACCTGGAAGGCCTCCAGCTTCTCCGCCAAGGAGGCGGAAGCGTCTACTTTGTCGAAGGGCAACGGGTAGGCGTACAGGATGTCGTCGAATCCCCCGTCCGCAAAGTGCCGGGCTTCAGCCAGCGTGGAGACCACGATTCCCCTCAGGGAGCCCCCCGTCATGAGGCGCCCAGCTTCCCTGCGAGGGACGCAAAGAAAGGATGAGTGGAGGGGGGGGGGAAGGGCCCGGCGCCCTCTGAGCTGGGTTTTCTCCCCCCCTTGCGGACGTCTCACGACCCACCTAGGGAACATCATCAGTGCTAGAAAGGAGGAGGAAGAGAAGGTGGACAACAACAGTGGGTCTGAGCTTGGCGTTTATTCTTGCAGACGTTTCATGACCCAACCAGGTAACCTCGTCAGGGTTCCACCACAAAACCGCGTTCGACTAAAGCACGCTCGACGAAACCGCGTAGCTGACGTCANAAAATATTAAAAATATGACACAAAAATTTAAAAGAAAATTAAATTATAGAACAATGCCCAGCCTGCACGAGGGGGTAAAGAGAGGACATCCAGATGGTCCCACAGCAGAGGGGAAGATCGGTCATTTCGAAGGGCATCACTGACCGTAAAAAATATAATTTCCCGGGTGGACTTCGCTGAGCTGGCCCATGGTGGGCACCGGGTGGCTGCAGGAGGGCGTGGAGCCGATGCTGGATTTCGGACAGGGCACCCTGGCTTCCAGGAGCCTGTGGGAGGGAATCAAAATGGTCCTTCCTGAATCACAGACGCTCATCTAACAACCATTCAAAGCTAAATCGACTTTATCAGTTCCTATCATCAGTCCTCGACTTACGACTGTTCGTTTAGCGAAGGTCCCAAGCTGCAGATTTGACCCGGAAGGAGGGAGCCTGGAAACATCTGACAGAGATTCTCAGATGCGGAGAACCTGGTTGTGTTTCGATTGTGGGAATGTGGATCGATTGAGAGAAGTGATGTGAGGAACGAATGGTGGCTGCAGAGAGAGACTTTTCCTTCCTTCCTTCTCTTTCTTCTCCCTTCTTCCTTCCGCCTATTTCCACCACCCTTTCCTTCTTTCTCTCCTCTCCTTCTTTCTCCTTCCTTCCTTAATTCTTCCCACTCTTCCTTCCCCACTTTCTTTCCTTCCTCCTCCCTCCTTCCTTCTGGCATTCCTCCTTCTCGCCTCCTTCTATCTTTCTCTCCTCCTTTCCTCCTTTCTCTTTCCTCCCTCCCCTTCCCTCTCCCCTTTCTTTCCTTTCTCCACTCTCCTTCCTTCTGCCATTCCTCTCCTCCTTTCTTTCTTTCCTCCTCTCCCTCCCCCTTTCCTTCCTTCCTCCTCTCTCCTTCCTATGCCATTCCTCCTTCTCTCCTCCTTTCCTTCTTTCTTTCCTCCCTCACTTCCCTCCCTCCTTTCTCTTCCTCCTTCCTCCTGCCATTCCGCCTTCTCTCCTCCTTCTATCTTTCCCATCTCCTTTCCTCCTTCCTTTTTCCTCTCTCCTTCCCTTCCCTCCCCCTTTCTCTCCTTCCTCCTTCCTCCTGCCATTCCTCCTTTCCTCCTTCTATCTTTCTCTCCTTTCCTTCTTTCTCTTTCCTCTCTCACTTCCCTCCCTCCTTTCTCTCCTTCCTCCTGCCATTCCTTCTCTCTTCCTTTACTTCTTTCTCTTCCCTCCCTCACTTCCCTCCCTCCTTTCTCTCCTTCCTCCTTCCTTCTGCCATTCTGCCTTCTCTCCTCCTTCTATCTTTCCCATCTCCTTTCCTCCTTCCTCTTTCCTCCCTCCCTCCCCCCTTTCTCTCCTTCCTCCTCTCTCCTTCCTCCTGCNAATCCTCCAGTCAGGATGCTTTAAGAGGGGGGGACTCCAACACCCCGAATCCCCTAGTCGGCATCCATTAAGAAGAATTGACTTCTGGGAATCGAAACTATTCCGAGGCTTAGAATTGTCCTTAGTCTTCAGCTTTGGGGGAAGAATCTGAATTTTGGGGTCACACAGCAGCAAAAAAAAAAGGGGGGGATCCTTGGGGGGGGTATCAAATTGCAAGAGAGTGGGCGTGGCCACTATTTGCAACGCCTCTTTGCAGCGTTTCACCTTCCCACTAGGGAAGACTGCCTTAATTTCCAATTTGGAGGGTGTCTCCATGTGACCCCCCTGGAACACGAATGCCAGTTAGGTGGTCCTGAAAACTGCAAAGATTTAAACTAGGTCCATCTACCTAGCCTACCCCTCAAGGGGGGGACTACTCTACCCCTAATCCTCTGCCTGGTGCGAAAAGAGCTCCTCTCTCCTCCCTCAAGGGCTTTGCACACTTACAACCATTCGTTTAGCGACTGTTCACAACATCACTGACCATTTTCCACACAACCGTCGCAAGCCATTGGGAAGAGGTTCATATTTATGACGGCCTGAGTTTCCCAAGGGGGAGGGGGAGGGGGTCGCGTGATCCCCTTTTGCGACCTTCTGACAAGCAAAGCCAACGGAGAAGCCAGATTCACTTCGCGACCGTGTGACTAACTTAACGACCGCAGGGGTTCGCTTAACAACGGGGGGTGGCAAGAAATGTCGTAAAACGGGGCGGAACTCAGTTAACAAGGGTCTCATTTAGCAACGGATGTATGTCAAGGACAACCAGTACTTTTTTTTTGGGGGGGGGGGAGGAAATCTCTCTTTTTACAAACAGAATTGTTTCACTGACTTAAGTTGGTCATGTCTTTACAAGCCACCATTCGTGGCTTGATAGGAATTGGATGGTTCAGCAACCAGGGGGCTCCTGCCTTGACCTTAACTACAACTGGAGTTTACCTACAAGTAAGTTGACAATTAAGAATCTTGCGAAGTTGTAAACCGGACATTCCCTTGTTCAAAACGATTTGCGGGACCCTCAAATGATTGTACAAGCCAGGATCTTCTTCATCTTGTCTTTTCACCAGCCTCGCACCGGCTTCCACGTCTCCACCACACGGCCCCCGCGGTGGACGAAGAAGACGGGGTGCATCGCAGCCGTGGCACACGCCTGGGCAGAGCGGGGGGTGAGTGGGTGCCCCCAAGTTGCAAAGAGGAAGGGAGAGAAACAAGACAATGAGAAACACAATTAGCTGCAAACGCACTTCCCAGGGTCAAAAAAACCCCCCAAAACGGCCCTGCAGATGCATTCACACAACCTGGGGGAAAAGAAAAAGATCCTGATTGGGGTTAACCTGGGTTAGGGTAGTTTTGTGGCTGAATGTCATGGGAACGCTGCCAGGTTGGTTAATTTAGGGTGTTGGGCATTGTTCAAAGTGGCGGGGAAAAACGGAAGATTCAGAATCCAGGCTAAATGGATTGTGTGAATGCGACTCCGGGAGCGTTTAGATCAGCAGCAAGCAGGCAAGGAGGGGGCAGACCGATTCTAGGTCCAAGCCGGACTCACGTGGTAAGGGATCAGAGCCAGAAGGCTGCCCAGGGGGAACTTGGCAAAATCCAGTATCCCGGTCATGGGTTCGATTTTTCCGTGTTCCTGAGTCATTGCCACCAATCTGCAAAAGAAGATCGGGAGCTGTTTTTCCTTCGGGATACGACCTCCGTTCTGCCAATGAGGACACTTCTTCTGAGGACTTGCCCTTTCATAGAGTCCTAGGGTTGGAAGGGATCTTAGAGGTCATCTAGTCCGACCCCCTGCCCAAGGCGGGAGACCCTACACAGGTAGTGCTCGACTTATAAACGGTTCATTTAGTGGTCGTCTGAAGTTAGGAACATTTTTCACACTTAACGACCATTGCAGTACACGCACCCCTGCGGACGCTTGGCAGTTGATTCGTATTTACGACGGTTGCAGTGTCCCGGGGTCATGTGATCACATTTTACGAACTTCTGACCAGCAAAGTCGCGGGGAAGCCAGATTCACTTAGCAACTGTGGCACAAAGAGTCATAAAATGGGGCAAACCTCATTTAACAAATGTTTCACTTAGCAACGGAAATTTGGGGCTCAACTGTGGGGGCAGGGGCTGGAGGCCAGAGGTGGGAAGACGGGGGCTTCCTGGTGGTGGCCCAGCTGCACCGAAGCCCCTTTGCTTTCAGGAAGGAACTGAAGGGGTCCCTGCTCAATCCCAGTGACCCCTGGCCCTGAAGGTTATATCTTATAGAGTGATTTTTTTTAAATAAAAAAGTATTATTATTATTATGCATGCTATATGGATTGGGGCCGCTTATAAATACTTGTTGAGATAGACAGACGGACGGACGGATGAATAGATGGCTATATAATAAATGAAAAATAAAAAATTAGGTAAATAGATTTAGATTTGATGGATGGATGGATGGGTGGGTGGAGATAGATAGATAGATGATAGATGATAGATAGATAGATAGATAGATAGATAGAGAGAGAGAGAGAGAGAGAGAGAGAGAGAGAGAGAGAGAGATGATAGCTAGATAGCTAGATAGGATAGGATAGGATAGGATAGGATAGGATAGGATAAATAGATAGATAAGATAGGATAAATATAGCTAGACAGGATAGATAGCAAGATAGAGATAGAGATAGAGATAGATAGATAGATAGATGATAGATAGATAGATAGATAGATAGATAGATAGATAGATAGATAGATGGATAGATAGGATAAATAGATAGATGATAGATAGATAGATAGATGATAGATAGATAGATAGATAGATAGATAGATAGATAGATAGATAGATAGATAGATAGATAGGCTAAATAGAGATAGCTAGATAGGATAGATAGCAAGATAGGGATAGATAGATAGATAGATAGGATAAATAGATAGATAGATGATAGATAGGCCAATAAATTTAGATTGATGGATGGATGGATGGATGGATGGATGGATGGATGGATGGATGGACGGACAGGCAGAGAGATAGATAGATAATAGACAAAAGATAGAAATGATAGAAAATATAGATAAATGATAGGTAATAGATCGAGGAATATGGACACAATGACAAACAGATAAATATTGTAGCAGATAACTGAATACAGGTATTCCTTGACTCACAAATGTTCTCTTAGGGGCACTGAAAAAGTGACTTGACCATTTTTCACATTTACGACCATTGCAGGATTTCCCTGAGGTCACGGGATCAAAATCCAGCCGCTTGGCAACTGGTTCATATTTACGACGGTCGCAGTGCCCCCGGGGTCCCTCTTGAGACCGCCTGACGACCAATGTCCATGGGGAAGCCAGACTCACCTAACAACTTAAGTTGTTAAATACTTAACAATCGTGTGACTAATTGCAGGGATTCACTTAACAACTGTGGCAAGAAAGGTCATTGAGACGGAACTGAACTCATTAACAACCGTCTGGCTTAGCGACAAAACCTTTGAACTCAGTTGTGGTCATATGTCGAGGACCACCTGTGGACAGGTAGACAGGCAGAGAGAGAGAGAGAGAGAGAGATCTGGGAGAGGGATGCATAAAGAGACCGATGGACAGATATCTTGATAGGATGACCGCTTCCAGTGGGAAGCAGGGAGGGATGGAAAGGAAGGATCAGGTGTCCGGGAATTATAGCTCCGTTACTTGAGGTCTGGGTGCCCGTCCACCAGGGCAAAGCCAGTGGGCAGCTGACCCAGGCTGTGCAGGCTCAACCCTGTCCATCCGCAGTCCACCAGTAACTGGTTGCGGTGTGGGTAGTGACCAATCACTCGTGTCCAGACTCGCACGGCCACGTCCTCAAGCTGGCAGGAGCCGATCATCGTCTGCTGGAGATCTAGAAGGGAAGGAGATCCATGGAGCCACTCGTGGTCTTTCCCCCCACCGGCCTACTTCGCAGGGTGATTGTGTCGGAGGGGTAGGAAGGTCTTCAACTCCCAGAATCCCCCAGCCTAATGGGTGGACTTCAACTCCCAGAATCCCCCAGCTTAAAGGGTGGACTTCCAGAATTCCTCAGCCTAATGGTGGCTGGGGAATTCTGGGAATTGAAGTCCACCCATCTTCAAGTTGCTAAGGTGTGAAACATGGACTCTCATTCATAAAAGAAGAGGAAAGGGAGTGAGAAGCAGGAAGACCTGGGTTCAAATCATTCCCCTTTCCCTTGAACCCAGCGCTCAAGGAATGAATTTGGACCAGCCCTCCTTCTCGCTTATATGAGACTACCTGGCTAGGGTGTTGTTTGGGGAATAAATGTACATTATTTCTTGCTCTCAAGGGGATGGAAGAAATCTGTTATTTTACAATATTAAATCTCAATATTTTACACATAAATGTATTTTAGGTGCATGTGTATGTATTTTGAAGGTAAATGCATTGAAATATATTTAAGTGGGAATGTAATTTACATAGGATATTTTCCATTTGTATATTATTTTATATCGTTATATTCTATCTATTCATCTTTGCCTCTATGCATCTATATAATTTTATATAATTTTTGATGTCTATATCTATCTATCTGTGTCATCTGTCTGTCTGTCTACCTACCTATCCCTTCCCCCTCTCCCCTCTCTCTCCACATCCCTCCCTCCATCCCTTTATCTATCTACCGGCATCTCTCTCTCTCTCTCCCTCCCTCCCTCTCCCTCTCTCTCTTCANTCTTTGGAGATTTAAAAAAGTGTGTGTATTGGGGGGCGGGGGGGGGGGGGGATTTGCAATTTATTGTCCACCGTTTACAAGGCGTTTTACAGCCAGCCCTTCTCATCTGGCGGCTCGTACCTGCCCAATTCCACAATTCGCAGGGCTGTGTGCTTTTTCTCCGCAGGATGCAAAGGAGAACAACAGAGGGGCACTTCAAAGGGGTCGTTGGGGGAGATCAGAGGGGTGGGAGGAAGGTGCCATGGGCTCCCCCCACCGAGAAAAAGCCATTGAATTTTATGAGGTTCCCCTTTTGAAGTCCTCAGATGGCTCCAGGCATCAAGAATTGATGCGTCCACGTCCACCCCGGCCTTCCTCCCTCCTTAATGTGGACTAACGGACTGGATGGCTTTTGCTGGAGAGAATGCAATGGGATTCTGCTTATAGAAGAATAACAGAGTTGGAAGGGGACCCTGGTGGTCATTTAGTCCAACCCGCTGCTTAGGCAAGAGTCCTTACTCCATCTGGGAGAAATGGCTGTCCCGTCTCCTGTTAAAAGCCTTGTGTAGCACCGACAACTTCCAGAAGGGAAGCTGTTCCACGGATTAATTGTTCTCACTGTTAGGAAATTTCCCCTTAGTTCTAGGTTGGTTCTCTCCGGATTCTTCCCAGGAACCAGCATGGAAGGACCAATGGCCCCTTAGCTATGTGGAATTGCATGCAGAAAACTGCAACACTGATTTTGATTCTGTGCATCGAAAAATACAAATTTGGGGTACAGGACAAGTTGGAGCATTTGTCAACATCAGAAATGTTAAGATGAGTGGACTTTAAATTCCAGAATCCCCCATCCAGGATGCTTTAAGAGGGGAGGACTTCCACTCCCAGAATCCCCCCATCCCGGATGCTTTAAGAGGGGAGGACTTCCANTCATCTACCTGTCTGTCTGTCTATCTGCACAACTATAATTGTAGCAGAATTATAAATAAGGAAAAATGGATGCAAGTATAAATATGGATGTATGTATAATTATAATAATTATAATAAAATAATGTATATTATATAACAGATGCATATATATATATATATATATATGTATGTATGTATGTATGTATGTATGTATGTGTGTGTGTGTGTGTATATATATATATATGTGTGTGTGTGTGTGTGTGTGTGCGTAAAAATATATAATTGTAATAAAAATCATAGATACATACTGTATAATAAGAGAAGGATAAAATTATATAATCAATGTATGCACACACACACACACACACACACACACACACACACACACACATTAGTGTCACAACCCCTGGTAAGCCCCAATTATGGAGGAAGCTAACTGCTTCCAACATCTGTCAATCGGCTCGTCACAAGGGTCCATCACGACAGAAACCCAATATTTTTACTGTTGCCTTTTGATCAGCACAAATAAAAAACATATATATATATAATGTTATTATAAATAATATGAAGGAGATACAAACATATTTATATTAATGTGTGCACAAATATAATTATAGTAGAATTATAAAGAAATAGTGATGCAAGTATGTTGCACACTTATAATGGAAATGATGTTACATATTTTGTATTCTCTGAGAGGCAGGGGGATGTAAGCATACATGTAGGCATACACATATTATAATAGAAATTATGTTGTATATTATATACTGAATATATAGAGATGGGCAACTATATATATATTTATGTATGCATTATAATAATTGTAATAAAAATATAGGTAATATGTGTATGAAAACACACAGATTATTTGCAGAGGTTGCAAATGTAAACGTGTAAAAATATTGTAGAAAAAAAAGCAAAAACCCATTCGGACATAAAAGAATTAACTTGCGGGCCGGGGAGAAGCATTTCAAGGGTTTTTTTCCCCGCCCGCCCGCTCTATTTTCTCGTCTCACCGGGACTGAAGAACCACAAAGCTATTCTGAAGGGAAGGGAGGGGGGGAAATGCGCCTGCGCGTTGCTGATCGATGCCTCGTTGGCTCTAACACGCTCTCCGATTCCACCCATGGTGCGTTATGTTTGCCAACAGCGCCACCTGCCGATGGGCAAAGCTGTTTTAGCGGCCGATGCGCGGTGAGTTGCGTGGGAAAAGGTCGTTTTTGACCCGCTTTTTTGCGGGTTTGATGCACTCGAGCTGTTTTTGCGTCGGCCTCCGATGGAGGGGAGGCGGAGAGTCCGCAAGCACCATAGGATGAGGGGCAGGGAGCCCAAACTACAACTGGGTTGGAGTTGCAAAAGTTTTGAGTTTCCCCTCCGTTTGCAAAGGCTTAAAAAGCTGGCAAGCCTATTGGTTAGATCGAAAGGGCTTAGGCGGTGCACCTAACCGCTGTCTCTTATTTTTCCTCCACACCCTGCTAGGAAGGCACGAGAGAGATAGAGGCCGGGGTGGGGGTGGGGGCAGAAAATAACAGATGATACTCATAAGTCTGATCCTCGCACTTACGACCAGTTCTCACCTGACAGCCATTGCAGTGTCCCCAGTCACATGATCAAAATTCATTTATCTTGGCAACCAGCATGTATTTATGATTATTACAGCGTCCTGGGCTTAGTGACCAGGTGATTCACTTAATAACCATGGGGATTTGCTTAACCATCACAACAAAGTTGTAAAATCAGGTCCACTTAGCAACCTAGTAGTAACAGACGTTTAGTAACAGAAGTTTAGGTTTTAATTACGTTGAGGACTAACGACCAGAGTTGAACCCAAAATTTCATCTGTTAAGTGAGTTTCCCCACACTTTACGACCTACCTTGCCACAGTTGTTAAGTGAATCACTGCAGTTAAGTTAGTATACAATTATTAAGTGAATCTTGTCAGAAGATCACAAAAGTGGATCACGTGACCCCAGAACACTGCAACAGTCATAAATACGAGTCAGTTCCCAAGCATCTGAGTTATTATGGTCCTGTCACTACAGGGATGGTGTAAAGTTTGCAAAATAGTCCCATTTTGAAAACAAAAATACCATTTTTTCAGTGCCATTGTAACTTTGGTCATTAAATAAACTGTTGTAAGTCGAGGACTACCTGTATAGATATGTTACGTGCTTATTTATTTATATTCTGTACTTCTTAATCATCATCTCTCCCTGAGCAGTGTACAACATAATAGAAAAAAAAAATTAACATCAAAATGACTTGCCTTGGGTGGAATGCCCTGATTTCATAATTTTCTTGGCTTTTGTGTTTATACTCCTAACTGGAACTACAACCAAAATATCACATACACAAAACAGCCAACAAACTACACAAGATTGATTTTTTTTTTTTTAGCTGTTTATTTAAACTCGGGTGAACAAGAATATCCTCCATCAGCGAGGCAAAAACCAGTAAAATTCAAGACAAGCAGTCCCATTCAAGTTTAAGGCATATTTTTTTACTTTTTCTAAATTTAAAAATTCAGATTGTGCTTTTAAAATTTCTGGAAGAAGAAGAAGAAGACTCAAGGCAGTGCAGTCTAAGTGGATTTGTCCTGTCTTCTCTGGCCTTTTAAAGCCAAACACCGTTTTTCCACATCGCAGAGAGCGCCAGCAACATCCAGCAATGTCCGAGAAAAAGTTGCAATGCTTTCCTTACTCACCGGTACCTCGATTTGCAAGGGGAGTTTTTAAATGCCCTGTGGGTAGCTGAGGATCTGCGCCTCTTTTATAATTTATTTATTGCAAAATACAGATTTTCCCCCTGGCCAGCCAACGGCCGTACTTAAACCAAGAAGGCTGGGCTGGTACAATGATTGAGATTAGAAGATGGATCTTGGTCCACTTTGGCAGCCTGGACTGGGACAAAATGGAAGTTTTAGGGGTGTCAGGGGACAAAACGGCACCCCCCTGTCCCTGTGTCCATCCTTAATGTTTCTCAACCTTGGACTCTTTGAAGATGGGTGGACTTCAATTCCCAGAATCCCCCAGCCAGCTGGGGAACTCTGGGAATTGAAGTCCACCCATCTTCAAAGAGTCCAAAGTTGAGAAACATTGCCTCAGAGCATTTTTCGCAATCCAGTTTTGCTTACAAATCCAAAATAATGTTGAATTCCAGTGCGTGCTTCTGTCTCTTTAATCTTAAAAACACTTACTTTTCTTCTTTTTTTTTTATTAAAAAAAGTCTTTTTTTCAACATTAGGAGGCTGCGGAGAATCATTAAAACCTCTTTCTTTTCTCTTGTCTTCATTTCCCATGGATCAAAAATAATGGCGTACTACCCCCATATAGATTGTATAAAAATGCATGTTCATCACCCCATACAAACTTTTTTTTTCCCAAATCCCCCCCCAAACGTTCAGCCTGGGGTCTGCAACCTAAACCTCGCCCCAAATAAATCCATCTGACTCAGGATTCTCTCAAACAGAAGCAGCGCAACAATCTTAGGAATTTCAGAACCACAGACAAAGTTGTAAAATCAGGTCCAATATATATATATATATATAAAAGGAGGTGACAAAAGTTTTGGAACGCTGATATTGCACTTGGTGGAAATTGGTCTCTGTTCCAGAATTATTATTATTATGTTCTTTCAAAGAGAGAAGGCCTGGAATGAATAAGAGATTAGGGGGGGGAAAGGATTTAACAATGGTTTCAACCTTGTAGACAATTGTGGAGCGATTGAGGATCTTGTTTCAGGGTTTCGGGACACACACTAGCTGGGGATGACTGGATTTGTAGTCTCCTAGAGAATGCTTACCTGGGGAACGAAAAGGCAAAGCAAGAGAGGTGGAAGGAATATGATAAAACATTCGTAGTCTGGACTCAGTTTCCTTCTATGTAAGAGCCGCAGATGTGTTAGTGGGGTAGAAAAGGTTTAAAACCACCATCTTAAATTTCTATCCAACTGTTTCTCAACCTTGGGGAAATGAAAATGGGTGGCCTTCAACTCCCAGAATCCCCCAGCTAGTATGCTTTAATATAGGTGGACTTCAACACCCAGAATTCCCAACCAGTATGTTTTAAGGAGGGGGGGGTTTCAAATCCCAGAATCCCCCAGCTAGCATGCTTTAAGAATTGTGGGAGTAGTTCACACTTCTTCAAGTTGCCAAGGTTGAGAAATATTGTTCTGACGCATCACATTTGGAGTGCAGTAACATCTCGAAAAAAAATATCTGAGCCAGCTTCTGGAAATTTGCAAATTCCTCATCCGCAAATGAACAGAAGGAAAGCTGCCCTCTTCTCCATCATCCGCACAGGAGGGATGAACCAACCAACGAACAGTAGAATAATTGAAAGAGAAGATAAAAATCACAAGAAGCTGAATTATGAAAGCATGGAATTGCTTTCTAGGGGTAACCGAAGATAGAAGATCTTCAGGGGTGGCACCTGGAGGATGAAGTATGTTCTCCCTTAGGAAGAAGGCAGGGAGGAAAGCCAGGTGAGGATGGAGACAAGACGGGTATCTGTTCTTCTCCAGGACATTCAACCGTCGACGTGCTTCGTACAGCCGTGGAAGTGGGACACGAGAGAGATAACCCAGACACGGGTAGATGAAGGACCACCTTCTTTTAGGTGAACAGGTGTGCAGGTGTGAAGCGAGAGGCGTTCTCCTTCAGGGGCACAGTTTTCTTCAACCAGGTGAGATGGAATGACCTCCCCAAAGAAGGCTGGCAGTTGGGCAACTGGGGAGGAGTTGAGGACTTCATCTTGGTTTGGAGAGATCTTCGGGAAGGCAGGACAAAGCTGGTGTTGCGATATAGAATCTCCTCCGGTTTCTCTTCGTGATGAAACGTGTGTGTGTATGGGGGGCATCTCAGAGCATCTTCTCCATCTTCTCGTGCAGAAGGTCACAGGTGCGGATATCAGCACCTGTGCTTAAGAGTGAAGATGATGTCCATTCCATAAAACACGTAAAGGAATGGAGCGGAGAGTCACTGTTTCCATCAGGAGGGACCTTGGATAGTGTGTTTTATTGAGTGGATTTTTTTCCCCCAAAAGGGAGGAGCGAAGAGGACAACAGAGGGCACCATCGTCCACTCTCAGCGTCTTCCCCTAATCTTGGGACACAGAGGAACATATAAGGCCTTGAGGCAGGGGCACCAAGATTGCCCTTTATTGCTAGTGAAAGTACGCTGCCAAGCGTGGGCCTCCAACGGATGAATGCCTGGTCCTCCCATATCCCTAACAATAAACTGTCCATTCTTCAGGACCAAGCCACCAGAGGGCGGCAGACTTTTTTTTCATACTGTAGGATCAAGGGGTCTCCAACCTTGGGAACTTTAAGACTTGTGGACTTCAACTCCCAGAATTCCTCAGCCAGCTTGCTGGCTGAGGAATTCTGGGAGTTGAAGTCCACAGGTCTTAAATCAAGGGGTCTCCAACCTTGGGAACTTTAAGACTTGTGGACTTCAACTCCCAGAATTCCTCAGCCAGCTTGCTGGCTGAGGAATTCTGGGAGTTGAAGTCCACAAGTCTTAAAGTTCCCAAGGTTGGAGACCCCTGCAAGTGTAGGAGATTGCAGATTCGCCTCCTGCCCCATCTCTGGCGTAACCCTTATGGTTTGCCCCCTGCCCTGCCCAACTTTCTTGGGTTTCCAACTGGAAGATCCTTCCGACCTTCCTCACTTCCCTTTAAAGCTTTCTTCAGAGTTTAAGCGAATTTCTCGCCCACCAGGACACGGGAAGCAAAACGGGTGTCCCCTCCGGGCGCGGCATCCCACCTAGTGCAACTAACGTCTTCTTAAGGCCACCACCAAGAGGCCCCCCGCAGTCTTGAGGTTGGGTTGTCTATTGCTTCACTCGTCATCCCCAGACTCTTGACACATGGTGGGAAGGGGAGGGGGCGACGGGCAGGCGGGCGAGGGGGGAAGAGACACTCCGGCAGCCTTACCGCCCCGGTCCTCTCTCGCTCACGCCCTCCAGTATCAGACGAGGAATACAAACATTTGCCGTTTCAAGCTCTGCAGGAATCAACAGTAGTATAGCATTGATTGGTGGGGAATAGCTGAATGGACTCGGGGAAAACACACACACGCACGCACACACGCACACAAAACCCCCAGATTGTTCTGCGGCACGAACTGCATTCAGGAGCCTGCTCCGGACGTGTGCAGGTTCTCGCTTCTGGAGAGTCGCCGCAGGTTGTCCCCTGCAGCCACAAAAAAAATCGGTCGGCGGCGCAGCGAGAGAATCGGACAGCAGCCGCGGTTGACCTCCTCTTAGGAGAACCCCGGGGGGGCCGCTGTGGCAGAGAGGTAACTACAAGGCAACAGGAAAGTTAAAAACGAGGCCTCTATTTGGATTCCGTTGGGTGATATTCTGTCTCGCCCGAAGACACTTGGGAGATGCGCCGCGTCGAGCGCCACAGCCGCCGATGGAACTGGCCCGTCCGCACCTGGAGGAGGAGAAGAGAGGTGGCAACGGAGGATACAGAAGCACTACGAGGAGAACATGTGTGGACAGCAGCACCCTTGATGTCCAGCCATCGAGGAGATTCCTCAACTAGGAGGCCGATCTAGGAGGAGTTAGGAATAGCAGTAATAGCAGTAGACTTATATACCGCTTCATAGGGCTTTCAGGCCTCTCTAAGTGGTTTACAGAGAGTCAGCATATTGCCCCCAACAATCTGGGTCCTCATTTTACCCACCTCGGAAGGATGGAAGGCTGAGTCAACCNCACCCTCCCGCGTGAAGCATCATTTGTGCAAATAGCGCACACTCAGCTTGCACAAAGAGTTATGAACATCTGGCACTCACCCACTCCGCGTGTGTGTCCCCCCGGGTTCAAATGGGCCACAGGATTGGGGGGCCCTTACTCTAATCCACCCCCATTTTCTTCCCCAATAGGGTTTTGGGGGACCCTGGGAAATTTCTAGGGGGCCCAAGTAAAATAAAATTGTTAGTGGGGGTTGTGTTGTGTGGTGACACATACCCAAAACAAGCAAAGTGCCTTTTAGGTAATCCTCGTCTTACAACCACTCATTCAGTGACGGTTTGAAATCAGGTCAGCCCTGAAAAAAAAGGGACCTCCACCGTTTTACACCGTTAAAAGGGCCCTATGGTCACCGGTCCTCGCAATTACGACCACTGAACCATCCCTGCAGTCACACAATCAGAATTTGTGCACTTGGAAATGGCACATTTTTACGACGGTTGCCACATCCCCGGGTCACGTGATCACCACTTGTGACCTTCCCTGCTGGCTTTCGACATGCTGTCAATGGGGAAGCTGGATTCACTTAACGACCAATTCACTGAATGACGGCAATGATCGTGAAATCGAGCCTGATGCACTTAACAATTTCCTTGTTTAGGACGTCATAAGTCGAGGTCTGCGTGTATACTGCAAATGCCATTGTGGTTAGCAGAAAAAGCACCAGGTACTATCCGTTGCCCAGCTTCGGTCCTGGGTCCTCGACTTACGCCCGCAATTGAGCTCAAAATTTCCAACTGCTGAGACAGTTGTAAAGTGAGTTTTGCCCCATTCTACAACCTTTCTTGCCACATTGTTAAGTGAACCCCCATGGTTGTTAAGTGAGTCACATGGTTGTTAAGCGAATCTGGCTTCCCCATCGACTCGGCTTGCCACAAGGTCGCATCATATGACAGCAGGACAAAGCAACCGTCATAACTGCGTGACTGCTGACGTTGTGTCCATGCGGAGGCCGCAATGGCCGTAACCGTGAATCAAACCAGCCACAATCCCTTTCTTCTGCACCGTTGTTGTAACTTTGAACAGTCACTAAACAGTCATAAAACCAGGACTATGCTTGTATTTTAAATGAGGCAGTGAAAATGTAAAACTAGCAGGTGTTTTTTTTAAAATCTCAGGTTAAGGATCCTTATTTATTCATTTATTCCCATGCTATTTTAATGTGTTATTCATGCTGCTTTGTTTCCATAACATTTCACAACCTTCCTGCGAGGGAGGACCAAATGTCAGCATTCCAGCTGAGACTAGAAGACCTCCAAGGCCCCTTCCAACTCTGCTATTGTATTATTGTATTATTGTGTACCTACAGCCACAGGTGATGAGGTTTCTGAAGATATCACCAGACCAATATCTGCGGAGTAAAACATTGATGGATTGGTTAGATTTATATCCCACAGTGATGTCTATTCCTTTATCTCCCCCCCCCCCCCTTGTAAACCACCTTGTTGGCCAGTTTAAGAGGGATCCAAAGCTTCTTTGACTGAGAGACCCTGGCCCCCCGTTGCTGCTAGCCCCATAGTTTTTACCCATTGCAATGCACAAATACGCAAAGAAGACCACTCTCAACTCGGCACAAGTTCTCCTCCCTAGCAGGGACTTATTCGCGGTAGCCCCAAATCTTTAACGAAGGAGAAAGAATTGCAGATGGTGCAGTGGTTAGAGTGGAGTACTGCAGGGCTACTTCTGCTGATTGCTGGCTGCCTGCAATTTGGCAGTTCGAATCTCACCAGGCTCAAGGTTGACTCAGCCTTCCGTCCTTCCGAGGCGGGTAAAATGAGGACCTGGATTGTTGGGGGCCAAGAGGCTGACTCTGTAAACCGCTTAGAGAGGGCTATAAAAGCACTGTGAAGGGGTATATAAATCTAAGGGATACTGTCCTCTCTCCCTCCCTTCCATGGTGTGCAGTAGATAGAATGTAGTATTGCAGGCTAATTCTGCCGACTGCAAACAGTTCGAGTCTCAGCAGGCTCAAAGTTGACTCAGCCTTCCGTCCTTCCGAGGTGGGTAAAATGAGGACCCAGATTGTTGGGGAAAAGAGGCTGACTCTGTAAACCACTTAGAAAGAGCTGTAGAAGCACCATGAAGCAGTATATAAGTGATGTGATAAGTGCTATTGCTATTTTCCTCCCTCTTTTCCTTCCTTCCTTCCTTCCTTCCTTCCTTCCTTCCTTCCTTCCTTCCTTCCTTCCTTCCTTTCCCTTTCCCCTTCCTTCCTTCCTTCCTTCCTTTCCTTTCCTTTCCTTTCTTTTCCTTCCCTATCACCCTTGGTACACAGTAGTTAGAATGCAGTATTGCAGGCTAACTCTGCCGACTGCCAATAGTTCGAGTCTCACCAGGCTCAAGGCTGACTCAGCCTTCCGTCCTTCCGAGGTGGGTAAAATGGGGACACAGATTGTTGGGGGGCAAATATGCTGAG